CAACACCAACAGGCAAAGCCCAGCTTACCCAGGAAGGCAACATTAAGAGGCCACCAGGCTCCTCCAATGCACAGTGGCGAGATTGGTCTTGTCACAGTAATGTAACCTGTAAAGTGCTGAGTACACCTGTTAGCGCTACATAAATAAAATATACATACACTGTATACCTACTGCACTTACTGTACCTCCCTCTACTGTAATGTAACCTGTAAAGTACTGAGTACACCTGTTAGCGCTATATAAATAAAATATACATACACTGTATACCTACTGCACTTACTGTACCTCCCTCTACTGTAATGTAACCTGTAAAGTGCTGAGTACACCTGTTAGCGCTATATAAATAAAATATACACACACTGTATACCTACTGCACTTATTGTACCTCCCTCTACTGTAATGTAACCTGTAAAGTGCTGAGTACACCTGTTAGCGCTATATAAATAAAATATACACACACTGTATACCTACTGCACTCACTGTACCTCCCTCTACTGTAATGTAACCTGTAAAGTGCTCAGTACACCTGTTAGCGCTATATAAATAAAATATACATACACTGTATACCTACTGCACTTACTGTACCTCCCTCTGCTGTAATGTAACCTGTAAAGTGCTGAGTACACCTGTTAGCGCTATATAACTAAAATATACATACACTGTATACCTACTGCACTTACTGTACCTCCCTCTACTGTAATGTAACCTGTAAAGTGCTGAGTACACCTGTTAGTGCTATATAAATAAAAAATACATACACTGTATACCTACTGCACTTACTGTACCTCCCTCTACTGTAATGTAACCTGTAAAGTGCTGAGTACACCTGTTAGTGCTATATAAATAAAATATACATACACTGTATACCTACTACACTTACTGTACCTCCCTCTACTGTAATGTAACCTGTAAAGTGCTGAGTACACCTGTTAGCGCTATATAAATAAAATATACATACACTGTATACCTACTGCACTTACTGTAGCTCCCTCTACTGTAATGTAACCTGTAAAGTGCTGAGTACACCTGTTAGCGCTATTTAAATATAATATACATACACTGTATACCTACTGCACATACTGTACCTCCCTCTACTGTAATGTAACCTGTAAAGTGCTGAGTACACCTGTTAGTGCCAAATAAATAAAATATACATACCCTGTATACCTACTGCACTTACTGTACCTCCCTCTACTGTAATGCAAAGTTTACTGTGACGGTAGTAGTCAGTATCACCGTCTAGTATTCCTTTTCCCAATAGCAGAATAACAACAATAATCCACAGGGTAAAATATCGCTGGTATCGCCAAATAATCCACACATGAGCCAAGGATTAATGCTGGAATAAGACTGACTTTACTGGCACACAGGACACACAGTTTATGTGATACAAAACTCCTCCTCTGGGCCAGGCTAGATAATTGAGTTTCAGCAATACACAAAGCTCAATTATCTGCTGGCCAGAAACATTATAATTTTTAACAATTTCAGAAAAGTACTTTCCATAACACATACAACTATAACTTTAACATCCCTGGGTAGCTGAGGATACTGGTAGTCACATATCCAAATCTCACGAATTTCCGTTCGGTAGTTTCCGTGTCGCATCGTGTGGAAGTTTGACCGGCTCACCATGTGGAGGTATCCGAGCTAGAGTTCCATAAAGTCAGTAGCAAGAGCCGGTCTCTGTTCGCGTCCAGCTACACGAAAACCACTGTTCGTATGGTACAGCTGGTTACATACGCATGTTCCCCTCGTTGAGTAGATTCTATCTACCGAATGCCAGTTTGATTCGTGGAGGGGAACGTATACATCCAGGACTTCCATGAAGACCGGACATTCGCATGTTTGCCTTGCCGAAAATAGTTCCAGGCAATTCATGCGTACGCCCCGCTGACTGCGTTCGTGAGTTTTAAGATGGCCACCATCCTTTGTTCTCGCCACGTGTTCGTATGCCGAATGGCGGCCACCTAGGAGCAATTAAGTTGCGTTTTTCTCCACATTCTAAAGCTGATTGCTACCCAGGGTGGGTGGTCTCTTCTTCGGTAGACGAATACAATTTTAACACATACTTAAAACAGCATTTCACAAGTATTTGGACAGCAGGGAGAAGCTATAACTGAAGGCATACATGTAAGTACAGGAAATCCTTCACATTTACCAAATTTGCTCGACATCTAGGAGCCAACTAAAAAAGTTAGGGTCCAGGTATTTTTAACAACAACAAAATAAATTCTTAAATGGACACTGTAGTCACCAGAACCACTACAGCTTAATGTATAGTATACAACTTAATGTAGTTGTTCTGGTGTCTATAGCCTGTCCCTGCAGGCTTTTTAATGCAAACACTGCCGTTTTAGAGAAAAGGTTGCAAAGTAACATCTCCAGTGACAGTAACTCTGACAGCCACTAGGGGCGATTCCTAGTCCAGTGCAGCACAGTGTGTAGCAAAGGAGGCGCTGAATGTTCCCCAGTAGAGATGCAATGATTCAATTCCTCTGGGACAGCATTTGCTTTGCTGAGATCATCAAGATTGATTATCTCGGCCATGGAGGTGGGGCTAACCATGGTAAGACCGGCACGTCGTGGGAAAAAAGGGGAGTAAAATCAGAGGGGGACCGGTCATCTAAATAGACACA